GGGGGGGTGGGGGGGTTGGGGGTCTGGTGCATATATCCGTTGGTCAAGGGGCACAGTCTGAGCAGATATAACAACGTAAATACAAAATTACCAAAACACCTGCACAGATATTTTAGGAAGCTACCCTGTGGAGTGTGAGCGGTGCCGGGCATTGTTATTGCTAATCACAAACCCAGCCACCCCATGACCCATGAATCAACACTGAGCAATGCCAGTCACAATGAAGGTCAACCACAGACATCATGGTGGTTTTCCAACAGTCATTCACACCACCAATCAAGTTGTGGTTTGAGCTTACCAAGCGGCTTGCACAGGTGTTGATGTCATGAAACCACGGGTGAGGACAGGTTCAGTCAGAGTGCTGATTGAAGTAGGACCCACAATGGTAAACTGAGGACCTAATTAAAGACATAAACTGACCACAACATATGGTCTTTATACAGTATATACAATAAGACCAACTGACACTAATTCACTTTAAGATGCGGTCTGCTATTTTTCATAAAACTAACTTTTAAGAGAGCACTGAAATGATAAACAAAATAAAAAAATATGGATGAATAAAGTACATCCATCCAGAAACAGACTGTTCTGAGCACTTTCTGTTACAAGAAAACTGATGCATTCCTTCATAGCGCTGCTTATATTCTCCCTGCTGAGTTCACTATAAAGGAATGCAGCCTGCTCTGCCCAAAACAGCTTATTACCAAATGCTGCAGCCCACAACTGCAACTCCCTCCTTCTGCTTTCTCTGCCTCACACCCTCCATTTATGAGCTTGATTGACCCTTGCACTCCAGAGTGCCGGAGTGGGCTTGCACTGCACTGCTTTGTAATAACTTGACAGAGAGTGTTGATTGTTGTAAAAAAAAAAACAGGCATTCCATTATAAATCCTCTCTCTAAGGATTTGAGGACAGTGCTGTTGAGGGTGGTAGTGGGTGGAAGAATGGAAAGATATTAAAAAGAATCACTGTCTCCTTTTGTTTTAATGGCACCATAAAGGTAGCCTCCCATTCTTGGACTTACGATGACCGCCAATATCATCAGTGCTGGACGAATGATCAGCTTTCCTTGGGACTGCAAGTATTTGAACCCTATTCCTGTTATGATATCAGCAATACAACAACAGCAAGAGAAGCAGCTAATGAGAAAACACTTCAAACTGCTGATATCAACTCTAAATTGACAGTCTCGTGCAAGTTTAGTCGTTGACTTGAGAATAAAAACAAAAAGGAAGTATAGTCTGCTCTCGGTTGTGTCAGATCTGTGGCAGCACTGGTTTTTCTGTTGCCAGGAAGAATGTGAAGAAAATATGCATCTCTGGAGACAAAGAATATCTGAACCACAATCTCTTTTTTGATTTTCCCACTGAGATAACATCACAAAGAGGCCGACATCTGACCTGAGCACTTCAAAGACTAAAGTCAGAGACTTAATCTAGTTAATTTCATGTCAGCTGTAAATTCTGCTGGTGTCCCATCACACTAGATATGGTCCCCACTTATTACATTTATTGAAACAGACAGACAACTGACCATCTGCTCTCCCTTTTTGCCCCCCCCCTCAGTCTGAATCATTACGTAATCCAGTACAAGATTACACAAATAAATGTCCTGCTTCGTTGCAATGACAGCACACAAGCAAAAGCACTCGTGTGCGCTGTAAAACGAGTACACACACTGTATCTGGGCTGGTTCACTATTGACTCGGACAGCATCCTTATCAATCTTTGTCCATTAAGGCCTATGCTGTTTCCGGATGTGTGCTGTTGAGGAGTATTAGTAACCATATCATTGGCTATGACCGCATGGCTTTATCCTTTGCTCTAAATGCTTTAAGACAGGCGTGTGGCTTGTGTCACATGGTGTTTGGCCGATTTATATCCTCAAATGGGTCATAAGACATCAGGGCTGATGCTCTCCGCTCGGGGGAATGTGTGCTCAACTCTTCAGCAGTGAAACCGTTGGAAAACAGTGTAATAATCGATGTAAGATGCTGTGGATAGTAAAAGGGCATAGACAGTATGTCTCCAACATTTAATTCAGGTCATAGTTTATTTGTAGGTTATTTGGAAAGAAGGTGGTATTGGCTGATTTTTCGAGTTCGCTCTATATTTCAATCCAAAGACAAGATGTATCATAAGCTTTTGTTCTACTAATCAAGAAACAGTGGCCACCAAATGAAACAATCTGCTACTCAAATACACACTGACCCACATGGTCCAACTCATCACAATATACAGGAAGATTCGCAAACAGCATACACACTGAACAAAGACACTGCATTTTGTTTAAATGGCACTGTTCACGTCTGAGTCATGTGAGGCCAACAGCAATTATCTTCAGTCGCGCCGTTGTGGAGCTGAAACAAAGGAAGCTCGTCTATCCCGACTGTTTTTAGCTCAGGAACCCAGTTTTAAGCCAGTGAATATTCAAGCCAAGAGACAATGTGTGTGTGAATGTGCGTGCACACCTATGCACGGAGGAGAATAGGGGCCTGTGAGCTCAGACGACTTCCTGTCTTGTTCCAGATCGTCAGCACATACTGTATTCCTGGTGAAGCGCACAGCGATGCATGCATCACTGCTTCACTATAGGTATAGACAGAGACAGAGACGAGGGCTGCTGT